CACAAGATAATTAGTATGCAGACCATTTTCATTTATATAGTGCTCTGTGAACACAAATTAGTTAGCCTAAATCAGTTAAATGACGAAAAATTAGGTGTCTATTTACTTGTGACCACTCAGTGTATTTATTTTCACTGCTACTTTGTGACAGAGGACCAAGTACATCGATAAAAATTCTTTCAAGTGGTGCTCCAACAATACTGCTGTTGCTGTCCATGCTGTTTCTTTCATGGACCTTTAAGCTCACACCATATTCCACATGAATTACATCAATTCTCTGCACGTCCCCGGCGCCCAATCCAACAGAAGTGCTCTTTTACTCTGTCTAGTGTCTTCTTAACACCTAAGATGTCCAGCTGTTGGAAAGTTGTGAAGACAAAAAGTGTTTAGAATATAGTGACTGTGGAAGTCCCAACTGTAGTCAGTGTTTCTATCGACTAGTACCTTCTCATTTTCGACATAAAAAGCTCTCTTGTAGGCATAGTGAATCCCACTGTGCCCAAGACATCTTTGTCTTTGGTCTTTTTGGAGGGACTATTTGCCACAAATTTTTTTTTGTACTATTCTTGATCCACAGAATAATTGGTTTCAAACTCGTATCTTTTCCACAAGTCTGTCATTTGAGTGCTGAGACACACCAGTTCTTTATCATTACTTGAGTTAGTTACATTTTGGACTATGGTCTGAAGTATTTTAAGTTGGTCATCTTTGCTGTCTTGTGCTTTTCTTCTTTTCACAATGTTTACATTTTTCGTTAACACACGGTCTTCAGGATAATGCATTAGAATTTCCATGGTTTCGTTAAGGTTAATTGACGATGTTAAAGTTGTACTCCTGAAGTTTCTGGAGCAATATTGCCATCTGGCTTTCTGGATTGTCAAAATTCACCAGCCATTTCAGTACTGCATGATCTGTCCACAATGTAAACTTTTGTCCATATAGGTGTTGATAGAAATGAGTTATGGTTAAGTAGCAGCTCTTTCTAAGTTGCACAATACCTCTTTATGCATCATTCATTACCTTGTTATAGTAGGCAATAGTTATAGTTGTCAACTGCTCCCCTTGTAAAATAACTGGCAACTGTATCTAACATTTAAAATGAATGGATATTCAAGAGTTGAGTATGCTATTACAGGAGTAGTGTTTAATAGAAAAATTAATTTGTTGAGTGCCTGCTCACAATCAGCACTCTAGCAAACCTTATTTGGTTTCCAAGTAATTTGTGCAATATCAAAGCTATATCAAAAAATGGTTTTACAAAACCATGATACTAAGAGCACAGTTCCAGAAATCCTCTTATCTCACGTAGGTTCTTTGTAGGTTCTGGACATATCCAATCTTAGTGGGGTCTGTAGACACTCCTTATCTGCTGAATATGTGTCCCAGGAAACTCATCTGTTGACAAAATAATTCACACTTCTTGAGATTCAGCTTAATGTTTTCTTTCCTCAACTTATCCAGATTGTTCCCTATCCCATCATAAGCATTATATCATCTAAGCAGACGAGTATAGCGTTCTATGACAGTTTAAAAACAGCACCCTCCAGTAGTCATTGAAATGTGGTAGATGCATTACATAATTCAAATGATATTACAACAACTTGTCACAATCCATTTCCTGCATTAAAGGCTGTCTTCTCTCTACTTGTTTCTTCAACTTGAATTTGCCAACATACACTCTTCAGGTCCAATATTAAAAACTATTTTAATCCAGATAAAGTATCCAGAGTAGAATCAATTTTTGGCAGTGGGTAGGCATCCTTCATTGTGACTTCATTCACCCTCCAGTAGTATAAGCAGAACCTTGTGAATCCACCCTTCTTCTTCTTCACAAGCATAGTAGGTGATGCGCATGGACTATTATTCAGTTCTATTACCCCTTGCTGTATTATGGCTTCTATCTCTTTGAAATTCTCAGTACTCTTTGTAAGTGGGATTTGTTTGGCTAACAGACATATTGGGGATGCATCTCCAGCATCAATCTTATGAGATATTTTATTTGTTCAGCTTTAGCATTGGAGAAGGCAACTTGATATTCCATGAGCAAATCATATAATCTATGACATTGATCAGTTGTAAAATCTCTACAGTTACGGTTATACAGCTCTTGCAAGTGAGGCGGTAAACTGTCTTTATGTGAAGATTTGATATCAGACTTCTTATATCTTTCCTCAAAGGTGACTACTTCTGATGTTCTTTGATGTGGAAGTACTACCTGTACAGCTTCACATCTTGCAATGTTCTATTCATATTATACTCAAATATTATGATTTTTTGAATTTGTTATCCTAATGATTATGTCTTTATTCTTTAGATCCATTAGTGTTCTTTCAATGATTAATTTCTCTATAAATCATCAAGAATTTTGTTGATTTTGTTCTCAGTTAGATTTATTTATTAGATTTAAGTATTGTATCTCTTTCTTTCAAATCCTCTCCTAAAATCTGTCTCTTTATCTTAATCTTCTTTTTTTTTCTATCTCTTTCTTCTGAGTCTTCTTTTTATTTTTTCCATCTCTCTTTTCTTCTTTTTCTTTTGATTTTTCATTTTTAAAGAAGAAAGATAATAGTACTTCGAGATTTCTTAAATGACTTTTGAGTCTACTTTCGTTATCCCGACTAGTAAGAGTGCCCCAGCACCAGGTGCAGTTTAACAAAGTTGTTAAATTGTGCTTATCGAAAAAAAAAAGATTAAATGGGCTATTCTCGCCTTATCTGAGTAAAAAGTAGCACAATTTAAAATTGAGGGCTCACAAATCTTTTTGGTACCAGACCCACAAGAAAGTTAATCCGGCGCTGTTCTTTCCAGTTTATCACATCAAAATTAGGGACGACCAGAGGCAGGCAGCCTTGTGTAGCTTTGCGCGAAATTTTGAAAAAAAACAACAAATAAAACTGTCAAAGGCGACCTCTAAAGATTTGTTTAAAAGAGACTTATTGTGAAGAGACTTACAAAATATTACTAATCGCCTTTTACTACTAAATCCTGTTCACCAATTACACATAAAAATATGCTCGAAGATCATACACTACATGAATATTTAACTAATCAGCCTAGACCCTTTTCAACTCTCCAAGGTTAACCCTCTTAGTAAATTACAAAAAACTCTCGATCCTTGTGACTGATAATGAACCGGTCTAGAAAGTTGCAGTATCGCTTCTGTCGATCATGCGTTCAAAAGACTGGCTTTAACACACCAAAAATGGACTAAACCAGCTAGGAATGGACAAGTGAAGAACGTGGTGGTTAAGTTTCATAAACAATACGAATTGTAAGATTTACCATTTCCTTAGAGAACTAAATATTTCGTAAAGTACACAGATTCACGTGTCTTTGTTGTTTGGCAGCTTGCACAGACGATTTCGGTATTCGGGCTTAAGGTAGCAACCCTCGATGCACACTTGGAAATAAAATTTAATAATCTATGTATTAGTTTTTAACAGGATAGGCACAGTCTCCAGTGGTTAAGATCTAAGTCGGACAGTGACATTGTATAGGAACTAAGTAAATAATTAAACTAATTATATTTAATTAATTAATTTAACTAATTAATTGAACTAATTAAACAAACAGTGACTAAATCAATGTTTTTTGTAATTGAATTAAGGCTGGAGGGGGGGACTAAATTAAGAAAGTTGTTGCCAGCAAAATATTTATGTGGCACACACTCCCGGTTCTGACATCTATGTAGTTATCACCAAATTTTTTCGTCCAAAGAGATCCCTTAATATATCGAAGCGATTATATTAACTTCAAGATAAGCACTTATTTGCATAATTTTATATTTTAAAAGGTATGCTCGTTCAATTCAATAAATGTTTGCAAAATGCGTCTGTATAGCTTACTAGCATTTCCAAAGTTTTACCTGTATAATTTTCCCATTTTTCCAAAGGTTTATTTGTATACTTTACTAATATTTTGAAAATTTTGCTTGATACAGGTTATTAATATTTCGATGTATTTGCCTGCATAGTTTAATAATACTTTCAATACGTTCATCTGTGTAGTACTGATATTTCGGAAACTTTTCCAGTATACTTTCTTAATATTTGGTGTATTTAGTATACTAATATTTCAAAAGATTTGTCCGCACAGTTTACTAGTATTTCCAGTACGTTTATTTGTATAATGCTGCCAGTATTCAGCTTCTAAATATTTAATATATTTAACTTTAGAGTATATTAATATTTCGAAGGATTTGTCTATATAGTTTTTTTATATTTCGTATCAAATTGCCAAAATTTTGTTTAAATAGTTGACTAATGTTTTCAAAGATTTGTCCCTAATACTTCCAGAGATTTGTCTAGCTTGCTAATTTCCAAAGTTCTGCCTGAATAATATGCTAATTTTCCAAAGGTTTGTATGCTATAAGTATTGCAATATATTTTCCTCTATAGTATACTATTATTCACAGTATTTTCTTATATAGTTTGCTAATGTTCTATTCACACAGGCTGTTAATAGTAACTTAATATGAGTTTGGATAACCTGTCTATATTTTTTGCCACTTGCGCGAATAGACAGCCAGCCTCACATTTCAGACAACCCAGATTATAGCTTAAAGACAGAAAATCATTAACTTTAATAAGAAACAATATATGGACAAAATTGTTATGCCAGTTCAAATTCTAAATAAAATAAGTGGATCTTTCGAATTACATTATTAAAAAATGTACCACTTACTCTTTCATGAAGACTTCGAAGATCATTTGTAATGATCTGCGGTTTGTTACTCATCAGTTCACTGAAGACCTCTTGACATTCGCAGTCTAAGTCTCCGTTTGCCAGCTCGGCATCAATCTCCTCTTCCATCTGGACCAAGAGTGGAGCGGGCATCCCAAACTTTGACCCCCGGCGAGCTATCTCCAACAAGCACAAAATGAAACTTTTCTCGTTCTTTCGGAGCACCAAATCATCAGTTTCGAAGAGCAAGCACTCCTTTATGTCCAGTTTCCGGCACCAGGAAATAAAGTTTGATATGTTATCACGAGACTGGAATGTGCCAGGGTGAACATCAGGCCGATACACAATGTCGCGTTGCGGGATAGGTAAATTTAATCCGTTCTGCCCAGCTTGTTGCCATTCTTGCGCCATGCGGTGTACGTTGTTCGCATGTTGACACAAAATTACCCCAGTCTCTAGCCGTTCTAAAAAGTTGTCCACTGTAATGTCCAAACCGTATAGCGCATTCAACCATTCTGCCAAGTCTTCTTTCATGGCATACAGATATTCTTCGCTGGTTTTAAATGGTCGAAAAGGTCTGGGCTCCAAGAGCATAACATGAACATCTCCTTCTCCACATGCTGTCGGTCCACAGCCTTCTACTGCCGTTGTGCACATTTTAACGTCCTCGCAACTCATCATTATTCAGCTGACCAAAGAAAGCTATATTTGCTTTAAAACGTAAATATTCAACACACAGTGTAGAAATAAGTAACACTTATAAATTGATCGATTTAGAAATGAAGAACGCATAAATTGTTATAAAAATAAAAGTCCTATAAAAAGTTGCTATGATAGCTCTTTAATTTCAGTTACACGATTATTTTTAAATATATGGCAAAGTAATAAGTTAATCTTCAAGAACAATTTTGTGTCTGGTCTTGATTACCGATGATATACTACTCAGATAGACTAAGATCGTGCTTCTTGCTGCTTATACTCAACTTCTGTGAAGTGACGGACATCTCCCATTTATTTAGATAGTCACCACTCGGGAAGATGCACGTGATCGTCGTTGGTGGGTTATTCATAATTAATTTTACTGGTTGTTTAGTTGGTTATTTTTATTTCACAAGGTTCTTAACGCCATCTATCGAAGAAGATGAAAAGTGTCAATCATTTAGCTGTGGCCTTGAACGCACGGGAATGAGACACACCAAACATTTATAATCGTCCTACGTTCTTAGACAAAAAGTATAGAATAAAACTGCAATAAGATGACCAAAAACTTTTATTGAAACAAAAAGTTAAACAGAGATAAAATTAAAGTTTATGAAAATGGATGAGATTGTATTTTTTATTTTTGTACTTTACTTAGCATAATATATTTTTCGAAAGAACAGCCACACTATTTAAATTCTCAATGTTTTGTGTAGGAGTCAAGACAACATTAAACAAAGAGATGATTCATCACTTGTTGATATACATCGTAATTATCATTCTCTGTCAACCAACATGTGTAAATACTTTTTAATTAGAGCTCATGTTAATACCTGAAGAAATCTTCTCAGTTCCCTTAGATACATTACATTCAACCTGATCGAGGTTCTTAAAATTTTGATCACTGTAATATGTTCTCATTGTGCCAAGAAACTTTTATTTGTTTTATCTGTTAATGCGTTTTCTATAAAGCTATATAACTGTGGTCAGGGCTGGACTGGGGAGAGGTGGCAAATAAGTGCAATCGTCCCTGTCCCCTCGGGATCAAAGGAGCCCCCCCCCCCAAACTAAAAGAGTTTGTTTGTAGTTAAGCACAAAGCTACACTCTACCCATCACGGGTACCGAAACCCGGTTTCTACCGTTGTAAGTCCGCAGACATGCCGCTGTGGGCGACTAAGAGAAAGAGAGAGAGGAAAAACATTAATCGAAAATTGGATGTCTGATTGTTGTGAAGTTCGCGCAAAGCTACACGAGGACTATCTGCGCTAGCCGTCCCTAATTTAGGGGTGTAAGACTAGAGGGAAAGGCAGCTAGTCATGACCACCCACCGCCAACTCTTGGGCTACTCTTTTACCAACGAATAATGGGATTGACCGTTACATTATAACGCCCCCACGGCTGCAAGGGCGAGCATGTTTGGTATGACGGAGATTCTAACCCGCGACCCGCAGATTGCGAGTCGAGCGCCCTAACCACCTGGCCATGCCGGGCCAGGATGTCTGATTGAAAAACATCTATTAACAAATGTGTCATTAATGAAAACAGCAATTTTAGTCCTTTCTTATAAATCTCATATTTTATAATTTTTCGTTAACATGTTTTTACAACTTGTTCCTTCATAAATATTTGCTCGGCCATTTAAGAAAAAAAAGTCGTTTTCATTACTTTGTATTCATTATAAATATGAATATTTTTTATATTATCTACTCATTGTTTGTGTTGTTTATTTTTCAAACTGTAGTTGATAAATAGTAACGAACTGTTTTTGACTTATTTATGAAGTTCAATTTTGTGGCTCTCCCCTACAATATTTGTCTCAGACCCTTCTCCTCCAAATCTTTAGATGCAATAACAAAGGATCGAGGACTTAGTGAGCACAAACAACATCTTTATTTTCAAAATCACTTCATTTACAAATCAAAATATTTGTGCTCCATATATTTCGTTGTATTTTTAATATGATGATCGGCTTGTGACTATTTTACTTATGAGCCCGGTATGGCCAGGTGGTTAGAGGCTCTTGACTCGCAATCTGAGAGTTCGAATCCCCGTCACACCGAACATGCTCGCCTTTTCAGCCGTGGGAGCATTATAATGTTACGATCAATCCCACTATTAGTTGGTAAAGGAGTAGCCTAAGAGTTGGCGGTAGGTAGTGATGATTAGCTGCTTTCCCTCTAGTCTTTCACTGCTAAATTAGGGACGCTAGCGCAGATAGCCCGCGTGTAGCTCTGCGCGAAATTCAAACCATTTTTCGATGTTTGCCTATTTGCTGTTGTTACTGGAGACTATTTGGCCGCATGATAATAAAACCAGCAATTTAAAAAAAAACTTCTGTACGAACAATGCTTATTTACAGGATGTGGGACACGGAATGTGAAACACTTAACAAACAAAACAAGCTTTGCGATTCTGCCTTATGAAGAAGAGTCCTAACACTTCGTTTTAAGAATCAAAAGATCTAACCCTATCTGTCCTTATGGCTTAGGTAAAAATCTATTTAAAAAAACTCTACAAAATAGTCTATGACAGTGTTTCCCAACCGCCCTGGCGCGGATCATTATTTGCCGGGGCGCGAAATGTTGTACGAATATTTCACCAAAACTAAAAAAAAATTAAAAAAAAATTATAACTTTCACCATTTTTATCTGCTTCCGACAACTAACCATAAGCAGCTCCCTGGTGGCCCAGCGGTAAGCCGAAAGGTTTATAACGCTACAAATCGAGTTTCAATATTCACGATGGGGACCCATTGTTGTTGTTTTTTAACGCAGTCAGTACTTGTTATTTTTGCACATGCAGCCTGGAGGTTTTTATGCCAGATATTTAAATACAAATAAAGTTTTCTTGTTGACTTGTGAGAAGGAACGCCATCCACTAACAAAGCGGAATTAGTAGGCGTCTCTGTGAATTTGCCTCTTTTAATTTGATTGGCTGAGGGAAGAGTGTTGATAGGTAATAATGGAATTCACATTACCAAAAAAGCCTTAGAGAGGTCGACTAAAATCACAGACTTTGAATCCAGCTTGTGGAGCAAATATATCGTTTGTTTCAAGCGGGAACAAGTAGCATCTATGGAGACAGATTTCACATTAAAGGGATTTATATAGAAATTTATAAAATGTGCTCATTAAGTTTGATATATTTTATTCGTTTTTTATTAAAATTCAGTACTGATATTACAAAGTAATTTAATGGTCAGTATGATACAACTGCTTGAGGTTTGAATCAAGCGTATAATTATTGTTTGTTTTAGCATAAAGCTGCATAATAGACTATCCTCACTTTGTCCATCAAGGGGATTCAAACACCAGATTTTAGCGTTGTAAGACCGTAAATTTACCATTGACCCACCGGCAAACTATATGATGCAGACATCTTTGTATGTATCGACACTGACCAACTTAATAATAGACTGTATACATGCACGTGCACTTACAAAAGCTTCAAACAAGCAATTAAACAGGTAAAAAAAATTATGTACCACAAAAAACACAATTTTAAAAACTACTGTCGAAAAAAAAACAACTTGTATCTATAAATCAGCATTTAGTGTTTACGAGGGGCATTTTACATCGGATTTCCTCGTGGAAAATGTGTGGGTAAGAAGACTTTTATAATAATAAAATACCTTAGTATGTTTGTTTGTTTGTTTAGAAGTTAAGCACAAAGCTACACAATGGGCTTTCTGTGCTCTGCCCACCACGGGTATCGAAACCCGGTTTCTAGCGTTGTAAGTCCGCAGACATACCGTTGTGCCACTGGGTGGCCCCTCAGTATGATCTGGCATGGCCAGGTGGTCAGGGCGCTCAACTCGCAATTTGCGAGTTTCAATTTCCGTCCCACTAAGCATGCTCGCCCTTTCATCTGTTGGGGCGTGAAAATGTTACGGTCAATTCCACTATTCGTTGGTAAAAGAGTAGCCCAAGAGTTGGCGGTGGGTGGTGATGACTAGCTGCTTTCCCGCTAGTCTTTCATTGCTAAATTAGGGACGGCTAGAGCAGATAGCCCTCAAGTAGCTTTGCACGAAATTAAAAAATAAATAAACCTTTGTACGCAACTTCAAACGCAAAATAAGCAGTTGAAAAAACATATTTTCTGATTTCAGAAAGAAATATTATCTCCTCGTTTCTTTTGTAACGTATTTAAAGTTATGTCAAAACAATCATAAGAAAATAAATACTTAGCAATGTTTCCATCGTTGAGTTGTCAATTCTAAAACTAAAAATCGGTATAGGTGAAACAATGAATTACTTGTTTTCAAATTTTCAGGTGAGACAATACACGAGACGATTGTCGTATCTGGAACAGCTAATAATTTCGCCGTTTCATAATAAGTAATAATATTTACCTTTATTCAAGATAATTTATCAAAATTTCCACACTGATGTTCTGCATGATTCTTTGTTTGTAGTTATGCACAAAGCTACACAAAGGCCCACCACGGGTATCGAAACCCGGTTTCTTGCGTTGCAACTCCGCAGACATGACGCTGTGCCGCTGGGGAGCATTCTGCATGATAGGTAGTTAGTATTAATTCTTGTTAATGTGATGTCTAAAGGTGTAATCGTGTGTTCGTTGCTCATCATTTTACTTAGGTAAATGTTTTGTATGACGATGGCTAGAAGCTTGTATCAATTTATCCCTGTGTCTGTGCTCACTATTTGAGGAAATGGGAACCTTCTTAAGGGGTGAAACAGATACTACGAAAATTGGTATGAGTTTGGGATTTCATTCTCATACGGTATTTGGAATAGTCGGAAACGTACGTAGATTTGGATTACGGAATACCATAGTTATATCTTTTGTCTGATTTGAAAATGTTCTTATATGAGAATCCTTTCTCTCCTCTGTGAACATGTTAGGTAATCCTTGTCCAGCCACACTGCAGCCAGTAAAGTCACTACGAAACTTAGACGTTGCTATATTGTGTACTAGTATTTTACAATATATTATTTTAGTCAAGCTTTGTGCTGTAAATCTATCCAAGTAAGTTAAACTCACCATCAGAGGGCCACACGCCATACAGCTAAGGGTGTTTTAAAGCACAACTTAGTTTTATATGATCTTTTTTTTAAGATAATTTTCAACGTCTTTCATCTGTTGAAAAAAAAACAAAACATTTCTCTATATTTATACTTTCTCTTAAGCACATTAATAACATTACCAGATTTTAACAGTGTTTGACCACATTATAAAATAGAATTACACTTAATCTCAATAGATACATTTTGTGTAGCACTGCAACGTAAAAAACTGTAAACAAACCATCAGTACGTGAACACACAACTCTGTCAACTAAGTAAAAATGGTTTGTTTACAGTTTTTCAAATGTATCTTGATCAGGGATAAAATTCTGCTGATACTCAGTACAAGTTATTTTAAGTGGAGTATACAGTTTCTTTTCTTAAGCCCTTATTGAGTTTCGTTATTTATATATCCTGGCATTTCAATCTGAATAATGTACAAAAAAGCTCCATTAACTTCCAGAAAACTTGGTACTCCATAAATATTAGGGTCAGGTCACGGCAAAGATAAATAGTGTATTTCTTAAGTGGTATTATACCACTGTTCTTGTCTCGTATTTCTTGGTACTGTCTATCTGAACTTACAATAAAACACACACGTAACAGCTTGGTGTGATACTAAAGGTGTTAAAAATTTTACTTGAACAAGCTCTGGAGATGTACTTTAGGGAAGGCATTTTTAAAACCCTTACTATGTGACATTTGGTGTAATTTGTTTCTTTACATAATTCTTATCAATTTCAGTTGGCATGTTAAAAAACATTCAACATCTTATTAGTAATTCAAAGTCATTCAAAACAGCTGTAGTCTCTCCAAAGGATATAAGAATAGTTTTCCATATGTTATGTTTCAATTATGAAGAACTGGAGGATATGGCAATAGACTGGAGAACAGTTTGTCAGTCCAAGACAGCATCATTTATGCTGTTCCTCTAAATACAATAACTGATCATCCCATCTCTGTAACATAATTATCATCTGATGTAAGAAACTCCTGGCACAGGAAGCAGTTTGGCCCTGAAGAAAAAGGGTGGTCAAATGTGCCATTCTGAATAAAAATACCATACACAAAGCAAACCCTGCAAATTTATTAGCAGCTGCCACTTCTGAAGTTGTAAGAGACTGTAACAGATGGGTCACTGGGCAGTACAAATCACAAACAGTTAAAAACACTTTCATGAAATCTAGTATTGGAACTTCTACAATGACTGCCCAAGGTGAATGTTGAAACAACACTGAAAATAACAGACCAGCTGTAGCTAACCATGAGTTTATAATGCATTCTACTTACTTGGTAATAATCCAGAACTTCAAGCAATGTTCTTCTATGAGGATTTATAATCAAACTGCTTTGTTTCTGATTACCAGAGTGGTAAGTTTTATAGATATATATAATTTTTTTTATTGTTAACTCAGTGTTTTTTGCTTTACATGTTGCATGTTACATGTCTTTCCTTCAAACATACCTTAAAGTTGAAAGACTATTATCATTTGTATAATTTGTGCATAGTATTATTTTTTCTGGGGTAATGTTTTAGCACTGTGTTTCTTGTGCACAGTATTAATGTATACCCATTTGGCACTGCTATTTTGTATACAAAACAGCTAATTGCATGACTCTAGCTACTACCTGAAGCAAAATATAAAAAAAAAACAAGTAAACAGTTCATTTCTTAATTAGAACTTGAAAACTTAAAAATCCATATTCAGAAATATGAAACCACACAAGAGCAGCATAATGCAACAAAAACAATAATTGGTAAAGTATAGCTTGTCTGCATTTGTATTGTACATTATTAGAAGATATACATTGCTTAGAAATGTGAAGACTTATTTAAGGAGGTGATTTCCCGAGTAGCTTTAAATGGGGAACTCGTTTATTTATAAGAAAAGGGGTTTGTTATGCTTTATGTTATTAAAGGAACAAATACACAATTTTCTTCTTTCAGTATATAAATCACTATTAATAAAAGAACAAAATGACCAACTCTGGTGTTACTAATTTTTAATGCACAGAAAGGCTTCCAAAACAATATGCTTAGAGTGGCTTACTTTTATCGTAAAACAGGTCAGGTATTTTGCTTCCTAACTTGAACTACAAACAAGCTAGTTATTACACATTTTATCACACAAATTTTTAACTTAACAGTACTTTAAGGAACTACAATATCATGAAATACTACATAGTTTACATAGTTCTATTATAACAATTACTGTTCTCAAAGATAATTTATTTTGCAATTCTATTAAACTTTCTGAATAACTGTTTTAAACATATCCTTGGTTATTTCAGGTTAGAAGACAAAAAATCTGAACCAAAAGACCTCTATTACAAGAAAAAGGAAATTCTGTAACATACTGAGAAACTAGGGCTAAAGAGAATTTCTTGGTTCACTCTTGTTTAATATTCATGGTTTTTGATGAAAAGGATCTCTTCTGCTGCAGCCCCACTAACACCACCTGTATACTTTCCAAGAGCAGCTTCACTGTTGGCCTAAAAAACAACATACAAATTAAACTACAAATTACCATGTTTGAGGAAAAGAAACTCGTGAAGAATGACAGTTCTGATACCATGATCATAAACATACAAATGTCAACTATTAATAATACCAGAAACAATCACATGTGATGTAGAAACTTGATAAATGAGAATATGTAACTGCTGTAAAAACAACAATAACTGTGATGTGTACCTTTTAATAAAACATGTTTTGAAGTGCAAACACTGGATCTAATACTTAGACTTAATTCTGGTTCTGTGCTCTCATCAGCCATGAAATAATCCAGAAAATTTCATTAGGGTTTGTTTTGGTATAAGAGATGAATTTAATGTAAACATGGTTCGCATAAGCTATTAGGAAAAAATTGCAGGACCTTTCCTAGGACCAAATTGTCATTTTTTGAGGGCCTAATGTACTGATTTTTAACAGAATGTCAACTTCGCCAAAATAAATAACTAATGTTTTATTATGTTATAAAAGAATAAAGAAATGGCTGTACAAAACATTCTAGCAACAATGAATACAACTAACAATGTGATAAAGCCTTTGCATCTTTCTCCCAAATACTGTGCTTTGAATGGAGCTAAAAATTCCTCCTATTGTGTAACCTAAACTAAATACTATTTATTCAAAATATTGTTTCAACTTGCCAATAGGTCAGGTCAACCAGCCGACTTGTATTGATTTCCTACTGAACATATATCACAAGTCATCATACCAACCAAGTAAAGATCCACAGTAATGTTTATCACATGGTTTTCCCATATAATTTCATTTCATTATTTTAAAACACTTTCTTAGTTTATTGCAGCAATTTCACCCAACAAAGAACTGCAAACCTTGTGGGTCATTAAAACCTTTGTATTTCAACATGGTGTTTAGCCTGTAAGCTTTCTTATATGATAAGACATACTTATACCCACATCTGAATATTTAAAACAATAATTACTCTGCATAATTTTAACTTATTGCCAGACCATCTTTTTAAGAATTTTATTCATTTTAGATCTGAAACAAAAAACTATTAATAATAACACAAAAACAAATAATATGCATCACAATACCATATTTACAGTCTGGATTGTCTCTTCAAAGCAGAATAATATACCCAAAATACTAAGTAATAGAGCCTAAAATGACACTCAAATATTTTGGCCTAAATTGATCACTGTACAAAAGATGGGTGGTCTAATCAGGTAGAAACAGACAGGCCGTCTTTAATGGCAAATATTTGAATATTTCATGCATGGTGATTAGGTTTATGTTACTCATTTGTATTATATTGTTGCCATTTTGTTTTTTCTCTTGCTATTTACTAACAAATTTTAGGCAATAACTGATGTAGAACTTAGGTTAGAAACATTGTTGTTGTTTAAGTGTTTATGCTGAAAATGGAATTAGGAAAATTCTAAAATGCTCATGTTCTTTATCCTCTCAACAATTTTACGATTTTTGATTTCCATGAAAAACACCTTGAGCTTATTTTATGCTAACAATATTATTTCAACAGTGTCACATGACATCTATTCTTTCCAGAAGGATGTACACTGTACATAGTTCAACATCTATTACCAAATCAATGTATTTCCCATTTTACAAATTACATTTTCTACAGCTCATTATTCACAAAACAGAGATAAATACAATGGTAAGACTTGTAACTAATAAAAATGGAGGATGTGGGAGAGATGGAGTTGGAGTTTTTCAGGACCTCCTGATAAAAACAATGGATTTTCCATGGTTTACAAAATTATTTAACTTTCCAAGATTTTCATGACCTGTGCAAATCAATAATAAAGGAATGACAAAATAACCTGAACTCTTGATAATTATGATGGAACATAACTATATATCAAATGATAATGTATGTATTCACCATTAAGATCCTTAGGAAAAGAAAAATATTCAACTATGACAACCAATAAAAATGGAATGCACACACTTTATTTGGAGTAGTTAGGTATCAACATATTGTTGCAAGATATATTTCCAATGTTTAACTATAGATGTTTATTAGTGTGTGTTTGTCATTACGATGCTAAGATCTAGAAAGACCACAACAGTTAAGAACTGAGAAGGATCATGCAATATGTAGAAACAAGAGGAGGGTAATCAGAATTTGGAACTAATGATTGTGTGGTTTCAGTGTCAGCAAATTTATTCAGTAGAATAAGTTAAGAGTTTTTGTATCTGTTATGCTACTCAGTTATTTGAGTTAGAATTGTTTATCAATCAATTAGCTTTACAAGGAAACTTTATAAGTTAGGGTCACATCTTATAGTTTATACTGAATTGTATTTGAAGTTAGGGCAATATTAAGTTGCAAAGTTTATGTTTAAAACTTCACTTATGAAATTAGGCCTACAAGTGAATGCAGCTGTAAGAAACATTAGTAAAGATATAATTCTTTATTGTTACATGGACGAATTAAGAACAAGTATAAATCTGATTGAAGCCAAGATCCACAAAGCTATTGGGGACTACACAAAGGGACTACAACGAGTTTCAAGAATAGTGCAGAAAAACCAAACAGCAAACTTTTGCTCCATTAAGCCTGAAGACAAAGATGTACTGGGCACAGTGGGATTCATTATGCTAATAAGAGGGCTTATCAGGAAAGAAAAGATACCAGTGTGCAAAATAATGACTACAAGTTGGTACTTTCACAGTCTCTAGATTCTGAAGCACTCCATCTCCACCTTTCAACAGCTGGTCACTTAGATGTTAAGACACTGGAGAGAGTAAGTGAGCACTACTGCATTGGGTGCTGGGAATCTGTAGAAAATTGGTTTATATTGTGTAAACTATGCTGTGAGCAAAAAGATCCATGAAAGAAACAGCAAGGGCAACCACAGCTGTATCATGTTGGAGCAGACAGAAACAGTGGGAATAAATATAGCATGGTTGTGATGGACTATTTCACCAAAATAACCATAAATATATTCTGTTCCAAGCCAGGAAGCAAAAACCTAGCAAGGACATTCGTCAACAAATTTGTTTCAAGATGTGGGGGGTGTTCATGGAATTATACTCAGATCTAGGACAACAATTTGAATTAGTCTTGTTTGTACAAATGTATCAGTTCTTTGGAAACAAAAATACCAGTACAACAGTCTTCATTCAACTTTTTTTTTTTTGCTGTGTGTTCAAGTGATACAAATGTACACTTTTAAACCAATTACCTGTTTATGTGAATGAACATCAGAAAACATGGGATTAATATCTTCCACTGGTATTTATGAGTTATTGAACAGCAGTATATAAAACTACATGTAATACACTATCATCACTCATATTTGGGAGAGAACTTACAATGCCATAGGACCTCTTCTGTACTCGCATACAAAGGATAGTCTTTCAGTAGATTCTTACAAAGAGTATGCAGATAGACTAAGGGACACGAATGACATCATACATGACTTTACTTAGGAAAGATTTAAATCATATAGTAATAAAACGAAAATTTGCTATGATGTCAAGGCTGATAAGACTGGATTCCATTAATGCTATATGGTATGGCAGTACAATCCCCACTGCAAGAGAGAACAAACACCAAAGCTAAGAAGGAGTTGGGAAGAGCCATATGTTGTTTACAGAATCCAGAAGGATGGCAGTCCAAACCAAAGGTCATTCACTGCATCATTTGTGTATTAGAATTGTTCAAGGACTTCACAATCGTGAATGAGGACAGTGTTGCATGCTCTATTTTCAAAGTTTTAATTTAGATGTTTGCTATTCAGTTACTCTGCAAGTTAAGTTGTTTATCAACTAATTAGCTTTGGGAAGAAATTTTATGACTCAGGCAAAGATCATGGAGTTTATTTTCAAATGTTGTATTTGAAGTTAGGCTAACCACTTTGTTAATTGCAGAGTTTATGTTGATAGTTTATTTATGAAATTAGGCCCACAAGAGAATGTGAACATAATAAATGTTACTGAAGAAATAAATTAACTAAATATTGTTACATGGACTGAACTTGGCATTACTTTTACCAAATAATTCAAAAGAACCTGCCCAATGATAGAACATGTTGCAAAATTATTTTAAATCGAAATATTTCAAAAGAAGTTAGTTATGATTTAAATTAATTTCTAACTCCAGTAGTTTGAATACAACATTTGTTTCACTAATAAAACCTGGCACAAGCAATAATTATTAGTTTAAATTGTTACTCCCTGCCAAACAAGAGATTTACAGCAAATTACCTTTTTACAGATGTGCAATATGAAATACGTGAAACGAGATAAGAAGAATTTAAATAATGAAAATTTCTTAAGTGCCTGAAACAATGTAGAATAATGTCCACAAAACTACACCAACCAACTTCTTGCACATGGAGTTAATTTTTTTTTAATTAGATATAGCGTTCATCTGAAACTAACTAGCTAAGTCCAAGGAATGCAATGGAGAAAAACTACTATGCAACTCAACTGACCTTAGCTCTTTTGAGGAATTCTTCTTGCCCAGCTTTTACACTCTCAGCCTTTCCAGACCAAGCCTTTAGTGCACTTGCCTGCAAAGCACGTCCATAACTAAATGTCAGAGCCCAAGGTTTCTTTCCTGGATATTTATTGATAGCATCAAGATTAATAGAGGCTTCTTCTTCAGATTGGCCACCAGAAAGGAATGTGACTCCTAAAAAGTACATTTCATTCGTTTACATAAGCTATGCTGTATATAAACAAAAACAAAAATAACACTGTAACAATAACAGAAAAAAATAACTTGTTGAACTTACCAGGAACAGCAGCTGGGAGTGTTCGTTGCAGGGTAGTTACAGTTGCCTTGGCAACATCTTGAGGAGTGTATTTGATAGAGCAGCTTTGACCAGCAGTCACCATGTTGGGTTTTAAGAGCGTACCTTCCAGGTAAACGTGATGGTCATTCAAAGCCTTGTAAACTGCAGCAAGAACTTTCTCTGTGACCTTCTGGGCTCTCTCCAAGTCATGAGTCCCATCAGGTAGAACTTCAGGTTCAACAATTGGTACAATGCCAGCCTATAAAATTAATAGTATAGCAGAATAAATTTTCTCCAGTAATTTAACAGTAGAATAAGTAAATACCTATAGCACTTTTAAATAATTAAAAAAGACACTATTTTTAAATATTGTTGACAATTATTTACAATAGAATTTTTAAGTGTTACAGTCTCATATTTTCAAATACTTCAAAAATGACAGTTTTCAATCTGTGGTCCAAGGGTACATTTCAGGTGGTCTGTGGAAAAGTTGCATTAATTACATAAAGAAAATGGTAACATAGTATATAGATCCCACTGTGGTCTGCTGAGATAAGAAACAACAACAACATAATTCAGGTGGTTCACAAACAAAAAAGTTTGTGAACCACTGTTTTACATTTACAGATTGGTTAAGTTTATACAAGTTAGCATACAACCTATAATTACTTGATGCCATAACACACTTTAAAGCAGTAAGCTCCTTCTAAAAGTTTTCATAATTTTAAGTAACCTCATTTAAAAACAAAAATACAATATCTGTATACATACATAATGTTTTATATGATTTTTAGTTGCAAAACTGTTGTTCTCCTTTTGTACTTTCATTTAGAAAATTTTACAATGTGTATGTACACATTTTTCATATTTAATAACATTGGTGGGGGGGGGGGAGCGGAACTAATGGTTTTATAGCTACAAAAACTGATAAGTACCTGAAATCTCTTGGTATTTTGTAGTTTGACATTTTTTAAACATTTTTATGGCAAAAAAGTGAAGCTTTAAAACTAGAAATATACACATATCATTTTATCAAGTTCTAAAGTATAACAATGTATTTAAGACTGTCTGTAATTGTGCTTTCATATTTGACTAAATTCTCCTTTATATACATTATTTTTATTAAACTGTTGATAAGTTAATAAGATAACTGCATAGATAAGATAACTGCATAGCTCAATATATATAAGAAAAAAAAAATTCCACTCACTTGTTGGCAACATGTTGCATAACGAGCCAGTACGTTGGCATTTTCCAGGATAGCTAAAGGAGAGGGATTGTGTTCTCGGATTTTAAGAACACATCTCCATTTAGCAAACAAACATCCCTGTTCCCTGTACTCCTGGCATCGCTTGGTCAGGTCATCTAGCCCTGTGGAATTTAGGTATTTTTTCGTTAACATATTTTTGTTCTTTTTTATGTAAGTGGTTAAAAATAACTAATGTTTAACAGGACACACAACACAGAAGTAATCTTTTTATACTTTTCAGATTTACTATTTTTGAAAATTCATTAAAAGTTTTACATATCACCGACTAAATTATAGTTTGATTATTTTGAAGCTTTTAGTTTACTTTCATAAATTACATTAATTGTATTTAATCTGATAATCTTTTGACATGATTTTCTTTGCTTTGGTGAAGTGTGGTAGTTTAGAAAATAGTTTTCGCACCTCTTCTTTGGTAAAACACTAGTGAATTAAAGTTGTCTCTGAACTGATACAGTTTCTCTAAAATTCTACTCAATAGCCTCTAGCTTCCTGCTAAAAATGATGCATTAACACCCATTTCAAATAGATTATACCTTGTCACTTGAACAAGTACAAGATATAAGCACAATAACAATTCAATTACAGTAACTTGTGCAATAAATTTTAAAATTAAAAATAAGATCAGCGTTGAAAATGCACAATAAAATTTTATTTGGCCGACAGCCAAAATTAAAAGACTACATGCTTTATGCTACCATCATAAGGAGTAAAAACCTACATGACAAGTGGATAGTTTTATAGAGAAAATGAACCTAATACTCAAAGTGAATTGAATATTAGAGAATCAATAGTAATTTTGTGTTTTTAAATAAATAATTCTTTGTTAAATAGAGATAAAGGGTTAACTGGTGATAATGCACAGTTTTGGAAAAAATATTGACTTCTTATGTATAACACCCATACTATTCTCATAGATTGCAATGATTTAAACCTTTTCTCTATAAAACTAACTGCTTGTCATGTAGGGTTTTACTCTTGATTTTGGTAGCATAAAGCAACCAAAATGTGTAGAGTCTTTTAATATTGGCTGTCGGACAAATAAAATTTTACTGTGTATTTCAAACATTGATCTTATTTTGAATTTTAAAATTAAACACATTGCATATATGTATTAATCTTCATAATAAACTATCCAGACAAAAACAATCACATCATTCTTATGGTTTTCTATCTCACATATTCCATTTTACAAGTCCATAAGTTAAAAAAATGTACTATACACATACACAAACACACATACATACATACATAGTGACATAAACAGGAGATGGCTGAGTGGGTGCAAGTCCTTGCCTTCCTTCTCTTATGCCCTAAAAGTGCCTTTTTCCCTCAGTCATAAAAAACTGTCAATAACCACAAAAAGGCATACCTGATTCCACACCTTGTTTGCTACGAGTTATTAGGAAAAACAACAACTTTAAAATGAATGGCACATTGGGACTTGTAGGTCTTTACGGTAAACACAAAAAAAATAAGTGATTTGCTATTAAATATTAATACAAAATAATTCACTCCTTAGTTTTAGATTTTAAAAAGATTTATAAGATCAGTTTAATAAAAGTGAAAGAGGATCTGTTTGCTTCTTATGGCTTTTCACTCTATGTGTAACAAAAGCAATCCATAGTCTCCTCGAAAAAAAAAGTCTTGCCCTATGATACTTGAAAAGTGTCCTTTTAATATCCTCTGCATATTACTATGTATATAGTGAGTATGATGTTTGAGTAGAAACTTCTATTTACATTAAAGAACCAAAAAAAAACATTCATGATAATGGAATATACATATGTTAGACACAGTGGTAAAGTGGAAGTTAATGTGTAGAATGGACATATAAAGGTCAATAATCATTGCGAAGATTTAAGCATCTTTATGAAAATGAAGAGCAGTTGTCTATACTGTATATAGAATATTATAAAATGAATATTAGCAACACATACAACTAATCAAGAACCTATGGTCACAGATGTTCAACTATGCAGAGTTTCAAATATAAGATGCAAATCATCAATTATCATCATTTTACTGTATAAGTAGACCTGGCATTTGTCAAATCCTAAACAGCAACTTCAAAAAATTTTTCCTTGAGTAAATCACACAAACAAAAGCATTATGATAACCTTTATTACCATAACACTTAGTATTTGATTTAGTAATATTTCCATGCTGACTAGAGTTATTTGTAATATCTTATACACTGATAATCCACAAACTGTAGCCAAAATTTCACAACATAAGCAATTCTCTGTTGCTAATTAATTTATCAATTTATTTATTTATTAATTAATTGATTTATTCAAGTTCTTTAGTACCAATACAAAATAACAACTGGCAACTAAAACATTTTAATGTTTTGCAAAAATATTCACAGCATTCATGTTTATTATACAAATTCTTTTCTATATCATGTGAAGACAGCTAACCCAATATGGACAAACTTTCAATTGAAATTAAAAAAAAGTTTACATATTTTTTATTTATTTATGATTGAAAATAAACATGTAAGCACTGTTACGATATGTTGGAAACAGTAACTAAACACTTACCTTGAGTAGTAGACTCCTCATCTGTTCCCATAAGTGGAACAACACCTTTGTCCACTTTGATACCTGGTATTATACCACGGTTCTTGAGGATCTGGACAAATGGAGTTCCATCATCAGCCTTCTGGTATACGGTCTCATGAAAGAGAATAACACCACTAATGTACTCTTTCATTATTTCATCACTAGTAAATAGCAGTTGGCGGTACTGTCTTCTGTTTTCTTCTGTGTTCTCTACTCCAATTCCTGCTAGCCTCTTTCCCATTGTGGCTAAAATGTTTACAAAAATATTATACTTCTTTGTTTCAAAAAACACCTTTATCATGGATTCATGATGGTTCTAACATTTAGTATTGTAAAAACAAATATTAATTTAAATATTCAGAAAAACAAACCAGAGAAGGATCATAGAGTCCATTTGCTGAGAGTGAAAACTTATGTCTTGGTAGTGAGTATGTGTATAAATAATACGCTAATTTAGCAAAGACAACAAATGTTTGGTTACAACATCATGCACTATGGAAGAAACTGGAGGAGAAAATCACCATAGCAACCCCCCTGCACAGTCCAAGGCTGAAAACAACTCTTTGTTTAATTAATACATGTTAAAAATCTCAGAAGAAACATTATTCATGCAACATATTTAATAACCTTATTTTCATAATATTTATGTGCATTCTACAGACAAAAAAATCAAAAGGTAGGAGTACAAAGACCTAATTTTATAAATTTTTGGAAAAGGCCGTGACATATGAAAATTACCTAACAAAGTATAAAAAGCATTCTCACATGTAATATTGTGCAGTGTTTAAATACGAAAAAATGCTCCAAGATAAATTTTACAAAATTTTTACTACACAACTCATGTGATTTCAGTTATGAATTAATTATAAGTAAAATCTTGCATACTAAAAGAGAAACTAATGGAGCCTCATATGAGTCATGTAACAATTACATTTTCATGAAAAAGCTTCTACAATGTTATTTCTTTCTAGGTTAAGTTAACAACATACACAAGTTTTATCTTCAGCATATTAATTATAAAATGAATATGTGAAAGTGATTAATTTTTGAAAAGAAGTTTCATGTGAATGACAAATCACTGCTAAATGTTGGCTTTACTATTTAGTTATGTTTGTAAAGACAACATCATACATACTTTATTTTATTCTCAAATATAACAGTGAAACTTGTAACAACTTACATCTTGGCAAATTTATTCAAATAAAAATAAATAAATGAAAAACAACTTTATTCATCTTTCTGTCAATGTGCTTTTCCAATCGTGAAAACACACTGCAGTGTTAAGGCCTTTCATATTTTGAAAGTTTATTTCTTTGAAACAACAAACTGCTCTGTGTGTGTAAGAACATTGCTTTATAATTTGATTTGGGGCATACTAACCAAGTAAAAATAGTCACACACATACAAGTTAAAAATCATTTTCAGAAAAGTCATTCTTTCTTCGCTGTACCAAAAAGAAAACAATTTTAACGTGTTCACAGCTTCTAATTATGCCTGGAAGGATACACTAGGTAAGCTACCCTTCAAAGGACACTTTTCTTTAGATACTAATAATAGTTCTCACTCTCTTTTCTCCAAAACTGTTCAGAGGTTACTTAGGTTGGCCTAATGCCACTAAGCTGCTATAACCTTTACCGCTCATTTTCAAGAATGTTTTTATTGTCACTTTGAAGACATTTTTTTTTTTTTGTCTTCAGTACAAACTTCTAATTGTTCATCAAGGTTATGCTAATCACACACATTATATTATAAATGTTTTCTTACTTCAAACTGTACATATTTCTGTTACTTCAAAAACGGATATTCTTGCACAAAAATGTATTGGTTAAGATACGAGAATCTTGCAAACTGAGAACTGAGCAGTTATGAAAATCTCATTAGAAACAGAAAAAACAGCATGCTACACATTTTAAAAATGTACATGACATTAAAAGCCACTTAGAAAATTACCTATCTGAAACAATTCTGAAAATTAGGTTGTTTAACTTAGAGATAGGTCAGTCTAGTCAAATACATGATTACATTAAAAATAAGAAAATGTATTCAAATAACATATTACAAATTCAAGTTCTAAAAAAAATCATATTTATTTAGTTACTTTTTTTTTAACTGCTACTACAGAGACTGACAAATTACTTCAGTTCTGGAATAAAACAAACATATGAACAAAAATGTGTGAAAAGACACAATGAGAGAGTTGAAAAAATAACAAACTACACAAATGGCTACCAGTACATTTATGTTAACCTAGAATGCTTACAAGCTAAATGAGGAAACAATACAATGTAAAAAACCTCTTTACATCATCACTGGCATACCATAAATCAACTGCTTTCCATGATTAAACATCTTAAATACAAACAACTGATGGTTGCCTTTGAAAAAACAACCAAAAACATCACTTTCATCTTTTGCTTGCAATCAACATCAATATGATGCATATTTTTCTGAAAATATAACTAATCTCATCACAAAAATGATAGTAAAGAACAAGTTTCTAATAAGCTTTGTGGATAGAGAAAGATGAGCTCACTGAATTTACTGAGTCAGAATATGTTGTGCCAGCATGTAAAACTGGTTGTTATACGTTGCAGAGAAATTAGCCATTACAAGTGATTCATGGACTGAATTAATTAACAATTCTGATGTGGCATTCACATTACAGACTGGAAACTGTACAGCATCATTTTGCACACATACACTATGTCAGGCACACAGCAGAAAAACCTTGTAAATGTACTCAACACAGCTATTGAAACATGGAACACTAAAAGAAAAATTTACTGCTTGTGTGATTGAAAATACCAGTAATGTAATTTTAGCAACAATGAATTTTTCATTTGGAAATTGAGTCAATTCCTTAGTTGTAATTTTGAAAACACCTTACATCTGCCTACTAATCATAACTTCCAAGTCGTTAGTATTAATCAAGATGTAGGTGCTGAGGGCCTATTTTCATCATATCACAGTTGTTATTAATGTTTTACAACTGAAATAGGAGCAACACCTGCCTGAACATCATCTTCACAGTATTATCAAGTTCAAATTCTGATGTTGATATATTTTAGCATTTACATGAACAAAGATGGGCCATTTTTGAATACTTGAAAACATGGGTATCCACATTTTTTTTTACCAGGCAGATATACATTATTAATCTGAGAATTTAAAACAAATTTAGAAAATATTACAACAATGTTGTTGTAAGCACAGGTCTCTGGCTGGCATAACAAAGATGAAACAGGTTTTGGATTAATACTGGAGCTTTTTAACTGATAGAATAAAGGTTTTACAGAAAACAATAACACACAATAGCAATTAGGCCACAATAATAATGAAGCCAACTGTTCTTCTTCTCATGCAGTAAATTAGAAAAAAAACAACACAATTTTCTGCTGGGTTTATGTCAGTGATAACTTGGTTATCCACTAATAATAAACATACCCCACCTTGTGTCTGCCAATATGGAATGCTTTAAAAATATGCTGTAATAAAATGCTTACATATATCATACTGTATACAACATTTAATATGTATTAATTGTTTAAAAGATTAATATGTGTGATCAATTTAATGCAAGATTGTTTGTTTTTTTATTACCCAAACAGGACCTGGGATCCCAAGTACTTTCTAAGTGGGTAACCAGCTCCACATTGTCTATCCATGCAAACTTCTACTTTAAATGTGCAACAACTGCTCTGTATGGTAAGTCAGTGGTTTAAATCTCAATGGTATACTTCCTTACAAATTCCCTGCTGTTAAAGCATTTGAAAATTGTGTCTGATGAATCTCGCAAGGTGGTGCAGTTCAAATTATCAGTTGCAGAATTACAAGGAAGGCAAATGGCACCATCAAGCTCAAACACCACTAGGAAGTAACACCGAGTTTGTCAGCCCTGGACTTTGTGAGGAATTCAGTTAGCATCATTTCTTTTTTCAGATGCAGACATATGTTGGCATATAATCATTACATGACATATATTATCAGATCATTATCACTTAATATATTACATACACATAACTTTATTAATGATAACTTACAAGTTTCCTAATATGGTTTTATGTAATAATCTTTTCTAAGTTTAAACTATAGCATATGATATAACTCAAGAGCTACATGCTTTGTACATGGTGTTTACTGTTAATTAACTTGACATAGCATTATGTTAATTTTTGTAAACATGTGACACTGACATATGCTAAACTGCAGTATATAAATATCTCACTTCATTGCCAGGTTAGAAAACAGAAGAGAGTTTTTCCATTAGTAGTTTGTCATTATTATTACTTCTGTAGGTATTACCATGTAAGTTTCTATCTACCAGTGCCTGAGTTTATTGTGTAAAATCAGTTAGCATACATATGCATGTCCAGTAATCAGTGCAATGACCAATTTCTTCATCACCACTCAGTATGTGAATGTCACTTGTTCAGTGTTCACAAAATGTACTTTGTAAGTTCTCTTTATATATAATAATAAAAGGGCATGTATGTGTGTGTGTGTGACCACCATATCTCCAAGAGGAAAGAACCAAGAAACCTTAAATTTTGCACCCACAGAAAGTTGACCCTGAGGGTGTGCATGTGGGTATTAATACTTGTCCATATGCGTGTGTGCATGAGCATCTTTTTATGAGGCAAGCTAGTGAAAAACCACATACAAATGAAGTGGCTCCTTATATTACAAATAGAAATCAGACAGACAGACACACACATGTGCGTGTACACATGCACCTCTTTTCAACTGCTGTTAGTGTATGTACTGAAAGGTAAAACAATGACATGTATAAACAGCAAAACTGGAATAATATTTGTTGATTTCTTAATCTAGAGTCCCCATTGATTAAAGAGGTTTGTTTTTTTATTAAAAATGTTGATGATATAACAGAAAATACTTTAATTCAGAAATGATTTAAGTTTAAAATGGGATTGATATTTTTACTTTCATGTCTCTAGGCTAGGTTATCTTACACTAGGTCTTTACTCTAGGCATATTTATTAATTTCTTTAAACCATACTAACATTCACTACACTTACAAAGTTTCAAAGCAACCTTCTTCACAGCCCCCTTGCACTCCCCTGACTAAAATCGTAATTGGCAGACAGTAATCAAACTATATTATTTGCATAAATGCATTTTGGTATTTATGATTAAATCTTATTTTGAGAAATCAAGTGTGACATGACACAACAAACACTGGCTTTTATATAGGTTAGATAATGTGATGTATAGTGTTCCAGGGTTGGCGATAGTAAAAACCTTTTCATCTTGGAAGCAGATGGGGAAACAACCAATATTATCTATCCTGAAGCACTGCAATGGTTAAAAAGTGTAATAGATTTTGATAAATGTGATAGGAATTTGTGATATCATATATAAATGTGAAATATTTAATGCAATGATAAAGTTCTTTGATAATAAATAATTCTTAATTTACTGTACTTTCTTTACAATTTTTTTATGTTTCTGGGAAATAAAAATGTTTAGAATAGATTCGACTGTTCTTCTATGCTAAAATATTTCAACCTAATAAACCGAACAAAGCTGGGTACTTTCGCTAGTGTGTTAATAAACAGCTCCCAGGATTACTAGATGTGTCTTTACTGAACTAGTTGAGGCTACTGTAGACAAACTAGCCACCAAATACAGAATGTAGATCATCACAACTCACAACCTAAGCACTTAAAATTTACTGAACTCAATACTCAGATTACTGTGAGAGACAAGGTTGGTGAGCCTGTATCCATTCTACTACAGAAGATATTTTTCAAATTCTTCGGGTCAGGTTAGCAGCCCCTCTAGTGAAGTGTTTCTCAAACTGGAGCCTTGACCCAAAAGCGAGTTGCAAGGCTACTAAGGGAGTCAAGTACAGTCATGTCCAGTAATTTGCTAACATTTCAATTGTGGGGGGAGGGGTCATTACAGCCCAAGATATTTTCAAAGGTGGGCTCAGAAAGAAAAGTTTGAGAGCCCCTGTTCTAGTGAATGCAGAATAGAAAAAGTATGCAAGAAGATCACAATGGCAGCATTATTTGACAGAGATCATGTGGAAGAAACATGAAGGTAACCTGACATAAAAACTATTTTGACATTGAGACATATATTTTACAGAATTAGGAGCCATTTATATGATGAAGGATGAACAAAAGTCAGTTCAAGAAGTTTGGTGTTAGCAAGGGCACATTTGTGTATTCCTGCAACTTTCCTCTCAACAGTGTACGTGTTTTCAACAAACAGAATTGTAGTAAGTGAACAGGCTATGCAGTTACCCCTCTTTCCTACACATACAATATGCTAATATTAAACAAGAGTCTATGAATATTTTTTTTTTGCTACTTGTAATCTATAGTGGCTAGCTACAATTAAAAAAAAGTTTTTGCTTTTTTTTTAATTTTGTAATGTGTTTTTGCCATTTGTCCCTTTTCTTTAAACTCTGGACTGCAGTAAAATTTCAAATACATGGCATGTACTGTTTCCTTTCTATAAATAGATGAAGTAGCATAAACATGTACTATATTAAATTGACCACTAAAAGTACAAATAGCATGTTCCATGTTTATAATTATTTATATGTATTGAAGAAAAAAGTATACTAACTTAAATTCATCTGATGTCAGTACTTATTGCCTTGTTGTAATTGTATTTATGTAAAGCTATTACCTTGTCTGCTTGCAGGACAGGTACATATTTGATATATTATACTTCTGCCTTTGCTTTCCGAGAGTGCAATTAATACAGCAAATAATCCACCAAATGTTTGAATCTGTGACAAGAGCAGTGGCTACAATTTAGTTAATTTAATACATGAGAATAATGGTCCCAGCGTATTTAGTTATAATATAATTCCAAATTTCCATCCCTAGACATGATTATAACCCAGATAATTGATTCTAATAACAGAGCTCAAACAATTGAAGTTCTGTGACATGTTAATTGCTTGTTTATTTTTATTGTTTAATATCTGTCAGGTTTTGCACCCAACAATGAAATTTTACACACATTTCTTTTTGTATACACTGGTTAAAATATTAAAAAAATTGTTACTTACATGTGCTTTCATCTGCAGCCAAGATTCCTTTACCAGGAGCAACAATAGCTTCAGCAGTCTGCCGCAGCTTGGTTTGCTCCTCTTCGCTCAGGTAGTTGAAATGAACCATGACTGATCTGCAAAAAAAAAAATAACTATATTTACAAAGATACAATACATCTCTCACCTGCCTCTTCAACTAAATGTTAAGGCAATGATTTAAAACAATCTTACATGTGTGCACATCAGCACATTCTTAACAGCCCTAAACATGTTTTGGATGCTGTGATGAAAAGAAAGTTTTGTCCAATTTTCTCTTGCATTACACATCACAAGTGCAATAAATATATACCACTTTTACTATTAACCATAATTCATTTAAAAATATGGATTGCAAAAATATAAGACAAACAAACAGATCAATATTGCAGCTAAATCTGTGAAGGTACTTGAAAACAACAAATAGCGTTTGTGTATTACATAGGTAAGATATGCTTTATTCCTTTATTGTTAGTGTTACTGTCATTAACAGTACTAATTAGAATAATGTCTAATTTTATTAATTTTTTAATTACATCTTTTATTACTATACTTTCAATATTGAGCTTGTTTTGCACTGTTACCGTGTTCGCCCAATATGTAGTTACTGCTAAATTAAATCTCCTAAGCTGGCCGAATTTCATAAAGTATAGTTGGAATTATAGCCGAAATTATCGTAAACAGAAAAAAATACCCAACTGATGAAACAATGCAGTCTAATCTTTATATATATGAGAACGTAAAAAAAAAAGAAGTAAAAAAATTGTATATTTAATTAGCAACAATCATTACCAAGTTGATATTTAGTTGTACTCTAAGTAGTAAGCTTGCTATGGTTTTTTGTTGTGACAACTCAGTTTTTGGTTTAGTTAAAAGTAACATTAACATTCTAACTTGTAAGTGTAGTCTTGTTCAGTTGTTGGACACTGCAGTTTTCAAACCATATAAATAAATACTGTAGCATATAAATTTTACTTTATCTTCAGTATATGTCACGTAAAGTTCCTCAGAATTAGAAATTATTTATGACATTAATAAATAAAGCAACTAATTTTGTAACTTACCCTTGTCGTCCTAAGAGATTTGCTACAACTAGATCGGAATAACACCTCACGAATGACGAGAACGCCGCAGTAATCAATACTGAAGCAAACTTATCACGTAATACTAGATTTCCGGAGTTCCTAAAAACAACAGCGCCACACACGTACAACAACGAAAACCGCGAACACCAAGCTTAATAACGTGAACATATTCCGCCAAGATTTTGACGTAATGTTGGCTTTCTTCAGAACTTTTAATACATAAGCACGCCAGTTATATAAAGTCGTGTTTATGAAATACAACTAATAATAACATTTCATTCCACCAAGAGGGCGAAAATAATAATAAAAAAAGAATACAGTTTACGTCTTGTTGACAAATTTCACTGTTAAATCTAACTTCCAGACTTGCAAATTATATAGCATTATTCTGAATTCAAATAGTACGCTTTTAATTTTGACGCAGTACTGATCAAATTTTGTACTTTACATGTAAAACAATAACACAAAATATATTCTGCAACTTGTTGGTTGCTAGTTTATAATCACAACCTCTTCATAATAGAATTTCCTATAGACAATAATATCCAGATGATATGACTAAACCAGTCCTGGCGGTCGCTCGTAGGAGGTGATTTTGAAAACGTACTTTTTTACGTTTTTTTTATTATCGATATTATTATTAAGGCACTGGAAACCTTTATGTGTGAGCTACTTGCTACTGTTATTATCTTTAGCTTAAAGCTATAATTGTATTTCATTTTAGTTTTTGATTTGCATTGTCATAAACTTTCCATACCAATTTGGAATGTGAAACTGGGGAGGAACACAGGTTCTAAACTGTATGAGCTGGCCTCCCCCCTCCCTCACCCCATGGCAAGGTCCCCGAAAGTGCTGTGCTTCGAGAATAAATAAATCCGAAATTAAGAGTAACAAATGTTTTATTTATTGATTTTGAAGTTCATATGTCAAGTTGTGTTGTAGCCTACAAAGTGCATAATTCTTTTTTTATGCATGGCATGAGCACGATTTACTGACGTCACGACAGTACAAATTGCAACGTTAAGCGTCTTTTATGTGACGTCATTTTAGTGTCTGCTGACTGACTGACAGACAACACACTACTGTATCGTGGTGCGACTGGTCAAATAAAGGTGACCCCTCCAGACGACTTTAGGCCCCCTTTCGGGAAATTACCACAAGCTCAAAAATTCTTGTGTGGTATAAACGATAATGCCAAGCCTTTTTACCCTGGAGCAACAACTTTGCTAGTTTTTGGAGGACACTTTCACTAGTTCTCCAGCGGGTCAGCGGTAAATTTACGCATTTACAATACTAAAATCTAGGGTTCGATTCTCCGCGGTAGACAGAGCGCAGACAGCTCACTATGTAATTATGCACAAAAACTATAACAAATCTTTTACAAATGCGAAACAAGCGAAATTACGTCAGTAAATATCAACAATCATTTCATGCACATATTTTCAGAGATAAGTGTGGTAGCGGAAGTTAACACACAGGTTGAATGTGTAGCACAGTTGTCACTACAATGCAACCATACAGAACTGGCGCTGACAACACCCATCAATCTTGCGCGCATTTTATTAGCTCACTAATTTCGGGAGTGCCACAATCAAGAGGGAGTAAACTCATTTCCACGAAAGAAAGGAATTCGTGTTATCACGGTTGCAATTACACATACGTTATAAACACGTACTTATCTACGTATCATATACATATTGGACGGAACAACTAAGTATGTTTTGTTTCAAGTAACTTCTTAGGTTACATTTAAATTACTAAACGTCGAGTTTTTCAAGCTACGCTTGCTTTATATAAATAAACAAACATATTTTCAACACACACGACACTATAGTTCCTATGATATTAGTTGTAAACTACATACTGGAGGGTAGCATTATGCTCAAAATGGCTAATTTCCAAGTTTGATATAAAACGATACCAAAAATCGAACTACTACACAGCAATTCAAACATCGAATTTTCTCTAGTAACATCAAATGCAACGAAATTGAAATAAAACTCGAAAGCCAAATTTATAAACAAAATCTGGTGAAGAAGCAAAATGTTCTTTTTAAGGTTGATTTTATTTGTTTGTTTGTTGAATTTCGCCAAAGCTACTTGAGGGCCATCTGTGCTAGCTGTCCCTAAATTAGAAGTGATAGTATAGAAGCAATGCAGCTAGTCAACACCGCCAACCGCCAATTCTTGAGCTACTCTAATCGAATAGTGAGATTAACCATCGCATTACAACGCCCCGCACGGTTGAAAGGGGCAAGCATGTTTGGTGATAGGATTGAAACCCGCATACTGTGAGTAGTGTGCACCATATAAACACCAGGCTTGGTAGTACTGATAACATATTTGTATAGGGAAATCATTAGTGAACAAAATGTGAATGCACGGTGTATAGGAGTGGTTCCGCCAAGCACGTGCTAAATCACACGTACGCTTAAGGTTTTTTTTTATATATGAAAGGGTTGAGTAGCCAAGTGAAAATTTCGTTACAACAGTTTACAGAACTTGTTTAATATATTTACAAGTCAACTGACCTATTTTTATTTTGTTTTTACCACCTCAAAACTACTAAAATAGCCTTTTTGCAATAGTTGTTAAACTAGAATGCAAAGTTTTCTTGGAAACTGATACATATTAGTCTACATTTACATTTATTAAAACAACAGCTGAAACAAGTTATTACGAATAGGATACAGCCTCGTACTTTTCTAGAAATAGTAATAGTCACAAGCTACAGCTGAACAATTTTAAGGTTGATTTGTTGTAACTTCCAAGCCGTTTTGAGTGTATATAAAAAATTGTCGTTTTCCTATAATTTTTTTTGTGGTGAGTAATTTCATACAAAGGACAAAACAAACACCAAGTGCATGTTAATGTATGTTACAGTGAGAGGACTGATTTGGGCCGGTTTTTCAAAATAACCGGAGATACATAAAAGATATGTTAAACACAGTACATTTGAAGATGGCTTACCCAAAACTGATAGTTACTCCTTCTTTTAAGAAAACGAATGTTTTTTCAAGTATTACTACATAATTTCAACAATTGTAGTTTTATGATCAGTCTTATCACAGTTAATTTATGGTGAGCCAATTATTTATAAAAATTGGTAACTTTATTCAAAAAAAAGATTTAAACCCAGGAAATTTCCCCGTAAGTAAGTTAAAGAGCTTCTTGAAATAATTTATTTGTTTTTTGCACCGGCATGCTCTTTATTTTCTGAAAAACAAAAACATCCCACATATGATAAACTATAACTTGTAGCTGGAGATCAGGTCCATGTTCTTTCTACTGTTAAGCAAATTATTAAAACTTTCGTTATTTACAAGTGACCACAAAGGATTACTAAATTATTGATTGCATAGTCTTAAAACAAAAATGAAATGTAACAAGTTATCGGGAAGCCATATGCCTAAACTGTTGTAATGATATTGTTGTGAGCTTTATATATTCAATGTTTTAATACGGATGTTAACTAGATGAAGTGGCGTAGCAAGGGTTCTCAGCACCCGCGGGCAAAGACACTTTTGGCGCCTCCGTCTCTGGAATGTTTTGATTAGTTGTTTTGTGACTCATTATCCACTTAATGACAATAATATAAAAAATCAATTACCGCCTTACACAGGCCTTAAATAAAGTTACAATATAACATCTCACGATATCAAACTGTAAACCTGGAACTAATGAAGTATAGCCTACTAGGTGTACTTGCATAATTTGTAAACCACTTTGATATTTATGTCATCCAGTATTGTTCAAAGTCACATAGCTAGAGTAATCTTTCAAGCATGCAGAATAAGTTTCTGTTATATCCCTAGTTTTGAAACTAGTGTTTTATATGAGAAGCCAGTCGCTTGTGGTGTACATGGATTATAAAACAGATTGATATAATACTACTTAAGTTTACAAATAACAAATCTTATTAGTTTACAAAACTGTACATATACTTAACTAGATCTTGTACAGGTAGCATTCTGGTATTCATGGTTTCATTATATGAACCTTTCGTGCTTTTGCTGCTGCAAATGCATCAATTAAACTATCAAAATTTAAGGTATTAAGTACGTCTTTTTCAATACATAATATTGCCAAGTTACTAAGTCGTTCTTGAGTCATTGAGATTCTCAAGTATGTAAGAATTAATTTCAACTGAAGAACCTTTCACAACTAGCAATAGAAATCCCAGTTGTTAACAAAGACTGCAATGCAATGCTTAAATT